GAGCTGGAGGAGCCCCGAAAGACCACCTTGGAGATGCCTAGGAGGAGTGAGAAGGTCCCCATGTCATGAGAGTTAAGATATGAGAGTTCAGCTTTGGTAGCGATTTACTTAGCCCAGGGAAAAGGCAAAAGAAACAGGCCGGCTGCTTAAAGTTTGGGGAGTCATAGGTTTCCTTTGAAAGGGGCACAGGCTCATCACATCTTGGGGTTTCTATCCTCTTTACTCAGTGGGACAAAGAGGAGAGGGCACTTCTAGGACCCAGGATGCTGAGAGCTGGTGCGATTGGGGAGCTCCTATATCCCCAATCTCCAGATCCAGCCCTATGTCCTTTGCCCCACAACAAAGCTCCAGCGGCCTCCCCTCCTCCCCTATCTTTACACTCCGCTCCTCCCACCCTGTTCCAGCCAAGCAGCCAAAGGGATGTGTCAAAAGAAGTCTGGTGTGCCCCTTCCTGCTCGAAACCCTCCAAGGGCTCGCCACTGCTCCAGATGGAGACCAAGCTCCTCACAGCCCCATAAGGCCCAGCGGGTCTGGCCTCTGCCCACCTGTCCATTCCCATCTTCTCCAACTCCTTGTCTATGAGCCGTTCTCAGAAAAGTGAACTTGTCGCCCTTCCCAGTCACACCAGCAATTTTCTCAGCAGGGAACGCGCTCCCACCTCCTTCCCTTCCAGGGAAAGCCCGCGAAGCCCCTCAGCTCAACCCTCTTCCCACCCATGTAGGGATGGATGGATGGATGGATGGACGGACGAAGCAGCTGGGCTGAGATGGGGATGGAATAGGGGAACCGGATCCTCGCAGAATCCACTGGCCCTATGACCTCGCCGGGCCTCAGTTTCCCCGCTGTACAAAAAGGGCGTGCGACCTGCTCCGAGCTCCCAACCGCTCACTCACCCTCTCGAGCCTGTTTCTTCCGCCGGGAACCGGGGCTGGCGGTCCCTGCCTGGGAGCCGAGCGCAGGCCAGTAGGGTCTACCCTTCAGGCGGGCGCCCCCCCGACCACGCCCCTCCCGTAGAGCCTGAGTCACGTGACTAAGCCTGCCTCTTCGCGAGGAGGCACCAGGCCGTGAGGACTTTGCGACGCCCGGCGTTGCCAGGCAACGGCCTACCTGCTGGCTCTTTTGATCCCAGCCTCAGTCTCCAGAAGGAAAACACTCCCCACCATTCGAAACCGCTCACGTGACCTAGACCCTCCTCTCTCGAACAATTCCGCCCTCGTGTTGCCGTGACAACTGGCTTCTAGGGATACTCTTCTTAGGCCCTTGCCCTGAGTCACCCGCGCGGGCGCGGGTGGATCTCCCCGGCTCCGACATCTTCTTGGGTTACCCTCAGGCCTCACTCCAGACACCCTACTCCTCTTTTCATTCACGCCACCGAAACCGGACTACATTTCCCAGGAGCCTTGGTGGCTAGGCGAGCCCTCCGGGGCCTCACGAGGCAGTGCTGAACACATTTCCCAGATAGCTTTGCGGCGGCCCGGCCCATAAGATTACCTCTCTGCACACTTTTGCTGTGGGACCCAAACCTCTAGCATTTCTGAGCGGTAACGAGACTCCGACTCCCGGAGGCCTTTGCGGCTGACAAGGCAAACTACACTTCCCAGAGGCCTCTGCCGCTTCGCTACCGGAAGCGGCGGGCGAGCCGACTGTCCTTGCGTGCGGAGTCGAGCGGCTATGGTGTCCCGAGTGTGGTCGATGATGAGGTGCGTGTGGCGGGCGGGCCCCGAGCTCCCGAGAAAGTCCTCCCTGCGGACACCCTCTTCTGGTTCGCTCCCCACCTGCTCTTCGTTTCCCGTAGTGTCAGGTGCCCCATGGGGAAACTGAGTTTCAAGCGGAGAGGTGATTCCCGAGGTCTCGCGAGCCCTTGCTTTCGTATTCTCGGAATGAGATCTCTCCGAGTCTCCGTTGCCTTCTCTGTAAAGTGGGTGTGCCGTACGCCATTTATTGGGAGGTGAATTCGCGCCCAGAGCGGCGCTGGACGTGCAGGAAGCGACCAGATACACTTGGAAAACCCTTCGGGTTACTCGCGGAGGGTCCCTCCTCGGGACAGAAGGCAGACAAGGGACTGACGTGTCTTCACTGTTCCCTGCTCCGGGCGGAATCATTAGTGATCCACTGTCCCTTTGCGGGCCTCAGGTTCTAAGTTGAATGGGCGGCGTACTCCTGCTTTGCACACTGTAAATGGAGAACTGTGCCTAGCAGGGGTCAGGCATGCCTCTGAGTAGCAAGGTGCCCAGTCATTTCCCTATTACCTGCCTGGCTTCCAGTATGTCACATTTTGGATTGTGGGGCTCCCTAGGGGGACTAACTCCTACTCCCATAGGCCTAGGGCCCCCCCGCCCCCCGCGCCCCTCCCACACATCCCGTGGGTGGCCTGCAGTGTTCTCTAAGCTGCTGTCGTTCTCTTCTCTGCATTCAGGTTTCTCATCAAGGGGAGTGTGGCTGGGGGAGTGGTCTACCTGGTGTACGACCAGGAGCTGCTGGGGCCCAGCCACAAGGGCCAGGCAGCCCTTCAGAGGGCGGAGGAGGTTGTCCCCCCTGCCATGTACCAGTTCGGCCAGTACGTGTGTGAGCAGACGGGCCTGAAGATACCGCAGGTACCCCATGCTGGGAGTGAGGCTGAAGCTTGATGGGAATCAACTTTGGGGTGGCCTTCAGTCCCTGGTCCCTCCAGCCTTGCTTGGTTCCTGCTCGCTGGGGCATGCGCTGCTTTCCCTGCTTCGGGAGGGAGTTGGGGCTGCCAGGCCCTTCCCCTTTCATCAGCCCCTTCTTCCTTGTCTCTTCCCAGCTCCCAGCCCCTCCAAAGTTTAACTTTCACATCCGTGAGTCCTGGAATTCAGGTAGGCCCTGGTCCCTCTGCTTGGGGGTGTGGCCCCAGGTACCCTAGTCTAGCACCCCTGACCCTGCTTCCTGCTCATGCCTTTCCATCACTCCCCTTACTGCTGTGTGTGCCTCTTGCACATCTAAAAGGGAAGGGGTGGAGGCTCCAGGGAGGTAGGAGCAAGATGGGGCCTCTTTTTGAGAGCTTGGGCCACCACTGGAGCACATCAGGGTAGGTGGCCTCAGACAAGGTGAGGTCCTGTCCCTCCTCTGTCTCAGTTTCCTGGTGTGGAATTGACAAAGTTGGAAGTGGCACCTCTAAGAGCATGGCCGAGTTGGGTGTCCCAAGGGGTTGGATTAAACCCCTTGGCTGTAGGTGGGGAGCCTGACCAGGCCTTGGGCCCTTCTTCCCTCCCCACAGGCATCATTACGGTGATGTCAGCCCTGTCGGTGGCCCCTTCCAAGGCCTGTGAATACACCAAGGAGGGCTGGGAATACCTGAAGGAGCGAATCAAGTAGCCTATCAGAGGAGGCTGCCTTCCCCAGTTGGAAATGGGCAGGGTGCCCTGGACCTCAAGCCTCTGGAATGGAACCCTAATCTAAGGGCAGCTCCCGGCCTTGCCAGCCCAATAAAGGACTTTGGAAGTGTTTTCCTGACCTGTGTGCTTGCCCCAAGAGCATGGGGTGGCCCTGCTTTGAGTGTGTGTGCTTCTGGCTCCTGGGGGCTGCTCCCGGCCTGATCTTGGTACACACCTTTTCTGTCTGGTCCCTGACCACCAGGACCCTCACCCCACTTGGGAAGTGGGAACAGATAGGTGGCCCCAGTGCTCAGGGCCCTGGGAAAGGGTGAGAAAGTGCTGAAGGCCAAACTGGGCTGAGGGGGCTGGGGTCTTAGCGGACTGAGCCCTGGGTAGGCAGTCTGGGAGTCAGAGCTCAGTAGAATGGGAAGAATTCATCTCTCCTGTGCCATCTACACTCCCAATCTTGCCTGGTCTCGTCTGGTAAGCATAGGCCTGGAGGTCATTGCCCTCCCGACTTCATCTATGGAGGTGCTCTGCTCCCTTCAGAAGCCTTCCCTGGCACTCCTACCCACACTGGATCAGCTGTCTAGTGATCTGAACGTGTTTGCTGGGCGGTTGGGCTGTCTAGATGTTCCCAGCCACCCCACCGTTGAGAGTATCCCCCTATGGTGGCACTAGGAAATCTGTGCCCCAGTCAGGGTAGGAGGTGGGCATAGATAGGAGCCAGAGGCTGATCCAGGAGCCCGCCCTGAGGGCAAGGAGAAGACCCTGGCTATGGTTCTCTGAGCCAGCATGGAATTCTCTGTTCCCAAGAGTGCTGGGGTGTTTGTCCCTCAGTTTAGGGATAGAGCTCACCCAGGCCCCTGATTCTGGAAGAAGCAGCAGGTATTACACGTGAGGAAAGTAGAGGCCAGGCATTTCCCCAGAGAAGCAATGCATCTGTTCACCTGATGACAGAGAGGTGTAGCTGACGATGGGTGGCCTGGCCTGCGGTGCTTGGTGACGCAAAACCCAGTGACCTGTGCTACCATGGTCTCCATGGTGGGTCTCCCGTCCATTGTGGCACCTGGATGCTGCGCAGCTCCCTGGGCCTCTAATGGGATGGGAGCAGGTCTAGGGTGAAGGCAGGATGGGTAAGGCCAGGGAGCATCCCTGATCCTTGGTGCTGCCCAAGAGGGAGCTGGTGCTGGCCATCTTGGAAGCAGGAGTGTGGCCCAGGTTCAGGACCCGCCCAGCCTGGCTCTCCACCCACTGAGCCCTTCCCCCAGTCCCATCGGCCCATTTTACAGATGGAGACACTTGCGCAGCCAGGTTAAAAGCCCAACCCTCTCCACCAGGAACCCAGATGGTTAACCGTAAACCCTTCCTGGGACACAGGATTTCCACTTGCCGCACCCTCATGGGCCCATGAGGGATTTATACCCTGGCTGTGCCATATGCTCCACCAGGCTCCCTGAGTGCTCTCAATCCAGAGCCTCATTGATCGGCTGCCTCCTGTGTGCCCCCCACTGGGGATGGAACCCGCAACCTGGGCATGTGCCCTGAGAATCAAACGGTGACCTGGTTCTTAGGACATCCAGTCAGAGCCATGCGAGCTGGGCTCAACCCACTTTTATCATCACTATTTTATGAAGTGGGGAGAGACCTGCCAAGGCCACCCCACTGCACTCGAGCAATTGTTAAAAGCCCATTGTCAGTCCAACAAAACCTGCAGAAAAGGAGACCAACCTTTGTAGGTGGGCAAGGGGCTGCCCTGGGGGCATGCTCGGCTCTCCTGGCACCCTCATCTCCAGGAGGCTGTGTCTTGCAGCTCCATGAACTTGGGGTGTGTGTGTGTGTATTGGGGCATGGGAGGGTCCCCTGAAACTGAACCCAAGCCCTGGTCTCTACAGTCTCTATGATTTTAGTCACTGCCCACATGCTGGGCCCAGGATCAGCTGCTGGCTCCTGACTCCCCATGGCTACTCTCATCCTCCATGTGGATCCAGCGCCAGCCCAGAGACCAGAGTGCCACTCTTGATCCCCTCCATTGCCTCACCTAGTCAGACCCCCAATGCCTCTCTGTCACTTGTATCATTACCAGTGCCAAGTGGTCTCCCCACCTATAGACCTCTAGGCTGGCCCCACCAACCTTTCCCAAAGTCAAGTCTGATCATGGCACTACCCTGCTCAGAAATACCATATGGCTCCCCACTGCCCTCCCTGCAAGCCCAGATACCTCCCAAGGACCCTTTTCTTACTCCCCTAGTTGCCCACAACTCATGGGCCGCCTCACCAGGCCACCACCCTTCCTCCTGGCTGACTCCCCTAACCTATTCCTTCTCTCCTCAGACTGAGTTGAGGGCCCACTCTGGACTTCCTTGGCACCCTGTGGGTGCCCCATCACAGCGCCTACCACCTCAGGGCAGGGCTTCCTCACAGCATCACTGACATTCAAGGTCAGATGAGTCTTTGGGGGGGCCATCCTGGGCACTGTAGATAATGAGCAGCATCTCTGCCTCCACCCCCAAATGCCAGTAGCACCCCTTATTTCCCAGTCATGACAACCACATGTCTCCATGTGCTGCCAAATGTCCTCTGGGGACATAATCACACTAGTTTGAGAACTTCCTTCGGGGTTGGTATGAATACCCTGTGGCTGTCTCAGTTCTGGAGTCAGAGCCTAACCAGGGTCTCACTGGGCTAAAATCCAGGTGGTAGCAGGCCTGGCTCCTGGAGGCTCCAGAATCCATTTCCTGGCCTTTTCCAGCTTCTAGAGGCTGCTGCAATGCTTGGTCCTTGGGCCCCTTTTCCATCTTCACAGCCAGCAGTCTTCCTCTCTCACATCTGTCTCCCCTGCTGCCCTGTTTTTTTCCTAAGGACCTGTATGATGATATTGGACCTACTTGGATAACCCAGGGTCACTTGCCATCTCAAGTTCCTTAATTTTTAAAATCTGACCTGACAAGTCCCATTTGCCACCAGAGTTCACTTTGCCCGCCCCGTCCCTGTCCTGGTGGGACTGTGCCAAGATGGTGAGTTCTGCTAAACCCGAGGAGAGACACGAGCCTCAAGGATCCCGTGTGTGCTGGGCTCAGGGTTTCCATGTCACCCACTGAGGACAAAGTCCAGCTGATGCTGTTCCCAGAGCCGTATGCTGGGCAAAGGATGAGCCCCTTTATGCTGTCCAACTTTGGGCCACATGGGCTGCAGCAGCCTGGTCTCTTCCCATAGGTGGCTGAGGGCCAAACCAGCTTTTATTAAATCTGGAAGTACAAGGTGAGACACCCACACAGACACACCACTGTGTGTTTCTCTGCAAACAGTTTTGTGGTCAACAGGGATCCTAGTTGACTAGAATTTGGGAGCTGCTCTGTGGCCTTCAGAGAATTAGGCTATTTATATCTGGGGTGGAGGGGAGATGGGATGGGGGGTGGGGAAGAGGGGGAATAGGTGGGAAGGAGAGCGGGAAAGTCCCACAATAGTACCTCCTAAAGCAACCCAGTAGCTGCATTTTACAGTTAAGCAAATGGAGACTCAGAAATGAAGGAACTTGCTCCAAGGCAGGATGTAAAGGCAGAACTTGGTCCCTTTGTCACAGATCGGTGGTTGGTCTCTGGCAGAGGAACAGTGAGCCCATTGGTTGAGCAGAGGGGATATGACTCCTTGAAGCCGAGGGTGGGAGACAACTACCAAGCTGCAAATCCCTGGATTACAGACAGGAATGCTTGGTCCCTGAACACACCTGCCTCACACTGTCCAGCCATAAGGTCTCCTTCCTGCCCTAACCGGTTTGGCTCAGTGGATAGAGCGTCAGCCTGCAGACTGAAAGGTCCCAGGTTTGATTCCGGTCAAGGGCATGTACCTTGGTTGCGGGCACATCCCTGGTGGGGGCTGTGCAGGAGGCAGCTGATCCATGTTCCTCTCTCATCAATGTTTCTAACTCTCTATTCCTCTTCCTCTCTGTAAAAAAATTAATAAAATATATATAAAAAAAAAAAAAAAAAAAAAGGTCTCCTTCCTTCTCATGTCCTGACAACACCCCTTCCACACTCAGGCCCTGCCCCACCCCCAGCAGAGTTCATCACTTCCTGGTATTAAACAGCTCCTCTTCCTTCAGCTCCCCACTTTGTTGTTAACTTGTCCTCACCCCACTAGGATGTAGTTCCACTCATGTGAGGTCCCTAGAGGAGTTAGATCCATAGAGACAAAGTAGATGATGGGTGCTGGGGGAGAGGGAAGATAAGTTAGTTTACTGCGTTCCTTTGGGGAAATAAGTTCTGAAGATGACTGGTGATGGTTTACACAGTATGAATTAAATGCCACCAAACGGTGCACATAACAATAGTTAAAATAGTAAATTTCATGTTACATATATTTTACCATACATACAGAAAATAACAGCCTGTTCAGCAAGGACTACAAGATTGCTGGAAACCCCAACAGTCCCTGGAAGCTGCCCCTTTCAGCCCTCCTTCCCTAAAGGAAAAGCTGTGCTGAGTATAATTTCGTTTTAAAGAGAAGTAAAAAGAGAGGATGCTTTAAATAAAGGATATGTGAACAGAAACACATTTATTACAAAAAAAACCCAAAAAACAAATTCACATTGTATCGAGCTACAATATGGCAGCAGATAAAAAAAAAAAATATTGTACACAGTTTAAGATAACTCCTAAAAGAACATACTCTGGTTGCCACATGACGGAACACAGGATTCCAAGCACTTAGTAGCGGCGAGTGAAGCGAGCGTCGTTGGGTCGGCTGCCCCGGCTCTGGCCAGCAAATCCACCTTGCATTCCACCGCGCGGGATCACGTGACCCCGAGAGGCCCCAGCTGGGGTAAAGCTGCCACGCCTGGAACAAATGCAGATGCTCATATGTTCGGAGTCTGTTTAATGGGATGTGTTGGGTGCCTGTGGGTCACATGCTCTTCGAAACCCTCTTCCCTCAAGCAGCACCATGGGACAAACCCCACACCATTTTAGAACACAGCACACTAGGGGAGGCAGTGTAATTGGGAAGACTTGAATGTTTCTAAAACTTCCCCAAGGCAAGCCAACATATGAAGAGGAGACTAGTACAGAGACCAACAGAATGCCTTACCCTGACATCCTTCCCCTGTTCATTATGTGACCTCGCCCAGAGTGACCAGACATGCTTCTCTCACCACCTGGAAGACAAGAGACACTTTTCACAAGGTACTTCCAAGCACAGAATGTAGTTTAGAAGACAATGACAAGGATTCTGGTAAGTCCAGTCCCTTTCTTGAGCCACCCAAACCAAATCTCACAGGTCTCCAGTGCATGTACAAGCACCTGAACACCACAGGGCTGTCCTAAGTTACGGGGGGGGGAGGAGTTACCAACACCCACATCACTCTTCTGTGCCAACCCTCACTCCCCATCCCACCCCCACCCAGTCATTAGGGGTTTCTCCTCTACCAAGCCCTGGGGAGGGAGAACAGAGAAAGCACTCCTGCTCTCAGAGGAGGGGGATTAGCAATGATTAGTGAAGAGCAGGTGTTGCTTAAGCTTTCTAGATGCTTCTCTTCAGACAGATGTGTCCCTGAGAGCCAGTTCTTACCTTGCCACCTCTTGTGGTCCCTGTCTATCATGCCTCCATCAGTAGTGCCCTGCCATGCACGGTCATCCTCAATTCTCCGGCCATGGTCCCCCCAGTCACGTCTGTCCCTTGGAAAGAGACATCTCTGATTTGGGTTGCCCACATCTCTGCCTCTCAGAACAGCAACAGCAGTGGGCTCTGGAGCTCGGGGTTAGCATTCTGTGTTCCCAGCCCCCCATCCCTTCAGGCAGTGGGGACTGAGGGAAACAGGACTGGCTCTGGCCCCATGTTACTCAAAGAGCTCCAAGGTGGCCTGAGCCATGGTTGGTGCACTGAGCCACAGAACCAGTGCTCATCACATCCCCCAAGATGGTGGGTCCTCAGCCTGTCAGCTATATGTGAGGCCCACAAGGGAACTGTGGAGTGTGAGACACAAACCTGGGTGGAGGAGGCAGTCCCCGGCCCTCGCTCATCCTCTTGTCAGAGCCATATCCACCCCACCTGTCACGGGAGTCCCGTCCATGGCGCTCTGGTCCTCCGTGGCGCTCAGGATAATGCTGAATGTTAAAGAGCCAAAATGAAAAGGCTTTAGTATTATCCCTGCATCCCAAGGCCTTTGGGGCAACAAGGTAATAAAGACAACTACCCAGAAGCACTTGCACACCAAGTCCATGTTGCCAGGCACTCTGCACACTGCCTTATGCCACACATGCCATGCATCTCACAAGACACAGCTGCATCCCTGAAGTCTGCTCATGGCCTGGTGACGAACAGGTGCTCAAGAGTCAAGGAAAGGGCTGAGACTCACCCTAATCAGAAGGCAGAGAATTGAGGGACTGAGGGACGGAGGGGTGCTGGGACCTAGCAACTGCTCCGTGCCAAGAATGGGCCCCTGTGCTAACAATATAATCAACACCCCTGTAGAACCACAGAGTAGAAGGGCCATGAAGGATCCTTTAACACAACTCACTACTGGGCCTGGCATCATGTCCCTGATTTGCCACCGGCTCTGCACCATCAAGCACTGGGCTGGCGCAGCCCCAGTAGTGCCTGGCCCCATTTTTCGTGCTCCATGAAGGAGGGATGAGAGAAGAAGCCCCTGTCTGCTAAAGGAACACCCATTGATGACTTTTAGGGACTAGGGTAGGTGGCTTTCCCTCCTTGATTTGCTGTTCCACAAACCCAACTGGTGACCTTAGGGGCTTTTGCCCCAGGATCACACTTGACATGAGAGGAAACTAGAAGAGAGCCCTGGTCATGAAGCCCCTCAGATGCTTGCTCCAGCAGTCCGGTCGCTGCCCACAGCCATGCTCTTACTTGGAGCCCTAACTGCCACCTGGTCTCTTACCCCTAAATGTGCACGGACACCTCCACAAGAGAAGATAAGGGGGTTAATTTTACTAGGTGGACAAAATAGAGCATTGTCCCTTCAAGGGGTGAAATAAAAGACCAAAGTGTCCACCAAAGTCTGTGCTGTCAAATTAAAGAAGAGCTATTTAAAATGGACCCCTGAAATAACACTTCTACAAAAGAAATTATAGCTCATGATTTACAGAGCTTCATCTGATTGTGGACAAAGAACAGGGTTTAAGAAAGAATGAATTTTTACATGTAGCCTTCTATCTAAAGACACATAAGTGGAGAGAGGAGCATTTAATACAGGGAAGCAGGAATGTTCAACTTAACAAGACCTGGTTCTTTAAAGCCCATTTCCACCTCTTCCTGGTGTTTTAAAGTTTAACCAACATTCTTTTGTCCAACTAACTAGTCCATGTAATAGTTCAAAAAGGCCCCGAGGGTCTGTGCTATTTCCCCTTTCTGATGTCATATGTCATCATCTGCCATTTGCGGCAGCACTAAAAACAACAAACCCTTTCAGTTTTGCATTGTCTGATGTCAGATGAAAACCCGCTAGCAATAACAGCTATGTGTGAGGGACTATGCAAACACTTTCTGTGCACATGTGGTCTCATTTATTAACTACCTATGTGGTAGAATAACCTCATTTCACAGCTCGCGAATTAGGCTTGGCAAAAGTGGTGGCACCAGGCATGACCCTGGTTCTGATTCTAGAGCCTTGACAGTTTAACCACTGTGTTCAACTTCTCCACCAAAGAAAAACCGTAAGACTGGGTCTAGATTTGGCTGCATGTAAGATTTATCTCCAAGAGTAGAGAAAACAGACTCAGGCGAGGATCACTGAATTACTCCTGAGGTGGCAGAGGAACCCCTCGATATACCAAAAAACCAAGCCATCCCCAGCCACGTTCTTAGGAAATGATGGAACAGGCCGGGAAAGATGCTGGAGTCAGGGAAAGGACGGACTCATAGGACACCAATTCTGCTGACCACCACCCTGACCACAACCTTCTCTCAATCCCTTTGATTTTCCATGTAAACCACTCAAGAGTTGGGGCTCCTTTCGAAATTTCTCAATCTACATGTAAGATAGGAAAAAAAGTAGAAAACTAAGCTTATTTCCTAAGGTGTTAATTCTGCACAGAGAATGAGTGTGGACCAGAGACTGAGATGCTATCTGAGGCTCAGCAGGGAAGGCTGACCAGCGACCACAGGTACACCTGGACTCCACAATAAGGAAGTGTGGCATCTGTCAGCTATGTGGGTCACAAGGTACATTCCTACAGAGCCTTTCAGACTCACCCAAGGCTTTCTAGCATTTTACTACCAGTGCATTTAGTTACTAGGCGTGTAGAACTTCAGGTCAAATCCGAAAAGGGCTTCAGAAAACCTGCTGAGATTTCCAAACAAGATGAGGCACAATTCAAATTGTCATCCCACAAACAGTGAAGGGCTGCCCTTCTCCTTTACTCATTCTTGCACTAATGCAAAAGTGGGGAGGAGGGAAGGCTGGCAGAAGAACAAAAGAGAACTCAATGGGAAAACTTTGCCCACAAGCATAGCTTCTGATTTACCTGTCCTTCTCTTTCTCCCATCATTGACCTTGAACCTTCTCTCCTGAAAGAGATAATTGAAAAGAAACCATAAGGAGATATTGGTTAGACCACCAAATAGAAAACATCTCCTAAATTGAGTCCAGTATTCCACACACACATTGTTTAAATGGATTCACAGAACCTAAAAGGGCCAACCTCACTTCCTTGCTATTAAGAATGACCCAGGACAAATGTCATCTGCATTAAGTAGGCAGGATGATGAGGGCCCAGCTAACCTGTCTACTGAGTGGTCAGGGTAGCGGCCCCGGTCTCTGTGGTCAAAGTCATGGAAGCGGTCGTGGCGGCTGAAGTCAGAATGGTAACGCTCATCCAAGGCAGCTCTCTTGGCTTCTGGCCAATAGGCATCGTCTCGCCTAGAATGGGAAGTAAGAAAGGGCTGAGTGCATTTCCCCCCTCCAAATAGACCATCTTGTGGGAACTGGTGAACTACCCCCCGAGACTACCCCTGACCCCACCACTTAACTTCATCAACAGCGTATTCTTTGCTGTACAAGCTGAGAGAGACTGGAGGGGTGACATAAGATCTGACTGAAAGCCCTGGCTGGTGTTGTTCAGTGGTTAGAATGTTGGCCTGTGCACTGAAGGGGTCACGGGTTCGATACCTGGTCAAGGCATGTACCTGGGTTATAGGTTTGATCCCTGACTCCTGTTGGGTGTGTGTAGGCGGCAACCAATCGATGTGTCTCGCTCACATAGATGTCTCTTTCTCTCTCTACCCCGCCCCCCACTTCCCTCCATTCCACTCTAAAAATCAATGGAAAAAATATCCTCAGATGAGGATTAACAATCAAACAAAAAATCTGACTGAATGACTGTTCTATTTTGTTCAACACATCTGCTTCCCCTAGGTAGAAAAGCTTTGGTTTGCCTGTAAGAGGTGACCACACATACTCATCTGCAGACTGGCCACCATGAAGGTTGGCCTTAATCTATCAAGACAGCAAGCCAGAGGTGTTATCAGGGCTCTATAGTGTACTTCTGTGTCTTCTACCATGACACTGACTTGATCCATTAAAGACAGCCAGTGGGGAGGACTTTTACAAGTACGTGAAGTGATGTTTGAAAACATTTGAGTAGAACAGACTCCCAGCATCAGTATTCTGCACAAAGGCATTAAAAAGTCCTAAAGGAGTCTAAAGACCTCTTATAGAAGTCATGTTGTATGTTATACAGAGACCTCTTTTAGCTCATGAGGTAGAAAAAAGATAAATGCATTTGGAAACACTCAGAAAGGATCACTGCTGGGATTATCACCCAGAGTCCTCACAGCAGGGTTCAAATTTAGTCCTCTTTTTCACTAGTGGTTAGCACTTTCGCCTCACATAACACATCAATATTTTTTATAAGTTTTATTATTTGAATAAGCAAAAACAAATTACTGCAATGATTACAAAGCCTGAAAGAGGCCCAAAGCAGGTGCTCTTTGGTCTGCCTGCCTTCCCAGCTGCTCTGGGTACCTGAACTTCCTCCTCCCTCCTCAGAATCTGTTCTGGGACTGAAAGATAGTGACTTCATCAGCACAACTTTGCCCAACTATTTCCTCACTGGACCTCACACCATTGCAAATTCCCTGACCAAGTACAGGACATTGAACTGGACTGTAGCAAGTGCTTCCTTTTAAATAAGAATCCCAAGTGAACATGATTTTGGGGACCATAACACAATTCTTAATGTCACAGGTCACCCAAGGGTAGCTGGTGGGAGCAGCTCGGCTTACCGGCCATCCACATCATAGGGCCTCCGCACAGCAGGCCGCCGTTCCTGCTCATAGCGTAATTCCTGCTGACGCCACAGCTCCTCCCGCTCTCGGTGAATGCGCTCTTGTTCCTTCCTGCGCTCATGCTCCACATGCATGCGCTCGCGCTCTAGCCGCTCCCGCTCCATGCGCTCCCGCTCCAGGCGGTGCCGATGGAAGGCCAGCCTCTCTCGGGCATACTCCAGCTGCTCCCGTTCCTCCTGCTCCCACAGTGCCTGCATGCGCTGCTCCCGTTCACTGCGCTCACGCAACCTGTGGACAGAGAGCAACAGCTGCAGGGGCCCAAAGGCCGCAGTGCTGGTGGCATCACCCAGTGGGGTAGCTTTATGAATGCAGAGCAGCCATGGAGCACTGCAGAAATGTAGCTTGCAGGGCTGGGTCTAGACCTGCAGGACTGCTGCTCTAGCAGGAAGACCAAGGAGGAAGCCCACTGTATCCAAAAAAGCAGCAAGAGCCCGGAAACTAAAGCATTCGCTCTGCTTCCGGATGAATCCAAGACCAGCCAGGTTACAGCAAAGGGGTATGTATGGGGTCTGTAATATAAACTAAGATCTTTCTGGAGTTCAACATCTGATTCTGTAAAATTACCCATTAAAAATAAGAACAGCCCTAGCTGGTTTGGCTCAATGGATAGAGCGTTGGCCTGCAGACTGAAGGGTCCCAGGTTTGATTCCAGTAAAGGGCACATGCCTGGGTTGCAGGCTCAATCCCCAGTAGGGGACATGCAGGAGGCAGCCGATCAATGATTCTCTCTCATCATTGATGTTTCTCTCTCTCCTCCCTTCCTCTCTCTGAAATCAATAAAAATATTTAAAAAAAACAGAACATATTTTTCATAGCTAAGTCTGATTTAGAACCTTTGCTCTCTAAATCATGAACTTCAATTAGTCACTGTGAAACCAAGCTAGTGCAGTAGAATCAAGTCATTTGATGCTGTTATATAAATTCAGGTGAATTTAACAAGCAAGGGCCTGTAACAGTTGAGTGGTGAAGTGCTGATGAGGCCATGCAGGGCCCCCGCCCCATGCTGAAGAGCCTTTCTTCTGGTAGTGATACTGATCATACTGTAGCACGTTTCCTCCAGTCTCCGTATACCTGTGAGCCTGTCTCATTTCCATCTTTTGCTATGCACTTACTGACACATATTTGCACTAACAGAAATGCATAATCTTGCCTTGTTTTGTGTCTGCATTTTGGACAAAATGGCAGCTTCCCTGGTTCACGTAACACATCAGAACCCTCCCATATCCCCATCTCTATAGATTTCAGGAAGAAGCCCTTGGAGTAGGCAGGTTTACATAACCAGCACCCAGAGGCAGACCTCATGGTTGTTCCCAACCTCACAAAAAGGGACACCATATCCCCATTTTCCTGTACATAAGTTCCTCCAGGGAGCTTTGAAGAGGTGGCATTACTGTGTCCGGACATTAGGATTTAGAAGTGTGCCTATGCAGAATGTCTCCCTAGGCTGTGTGCCATGTCCACTCCCACCTCTACCAATACCCGTCTCCCACACTGTAATTCAAATGGTGGCTCAAATTAAACTGGTGAATAAAAAGCTGGTCTCACTGCTGTTTTCATCTCAATTTCCCTGATCCCCAGAGAGGCTGAACCACTTTCTATAGGTTTCATGAGCACTTATATTGTCTTTGATCCATTTTATTATCAGGTTATTTTTTTCCTTACTACATTTCAAATGACTTTTATTCCCACCTGTCATATGTCTTTTGACTTTCTCTTCGGTCTTTCATTATAGAAAGGTTAAAGTTATGATTTAGTCTACTTCTCCCTCATGACTTTTCAGGCCTTCTAAAGCTAAAATTCACAAATATATTTACTTTCATATTATATGAATAATTTATTTTTATGCTTGTGTTCAGTCATCAGTTCATTTTAACTATTTTGTCAAGGATGTTGGTGAGTTGGGAGACCCAAAGGACTATCCAAAGAACAAATGACCTGAAGTCATTTTTGGGAGAGTCCATCACTAGTGGGAAATGTCATTTTTATCAGGTTAATTTCCACATGTACATGGTTTGGTTCTACTTATTTGCCAATTACATCCTTTGCCCAATGCCTTTCCCTCTTAGGCATAAAGTTTTGTGTGGGACATTACAACAAAACAGTACACCCTGTTCCCTTTCCTCTCTCTTACTTTCCTAGACTTTTTTTTTTTTAACTAACAATTATTTTTTAAACTACAGCTTAAAAGTTCTTTCTTGATAAGGAAAATTAACTGTCACTCAATGTGGTCAATACTATTTGTGTTTAGTTTTAAAAAAATTATAAAAATATTTTTTTCTTGGCTTATTTAAGGATGAGGACATCTCAGCTCACTCAATATCTGTCCCACCATTTTTCCATTTTCATAGCTTCCGGAGCAAATTGGTGTTAACTAGCATGACTGCACCGAGAAGCATTCCATCTCCTGCCACTGGTCCCTTCCATAATCTTCAGGAAGAAATGAGCCTATTTACATGAAAAATAATTTGAAAAAGCCGTAAATTGATAGTCACAGCACGGCAACTGAAAACCAAGGGGGCAAACAGGTTTAAAGAAGTTCTCCACCCACAGGGGGCTTTGAAACAGCCTTGAACACAGTTATAACCAGTTCAGGGCAGTAACCAACCAGTGAACGTTTCTGGAACCTGACTCACCTGCGGGACTCGGAGTCTCTTGATTTCCGAGGCTCTTTGACTCTATCAAAGGATACAACAGACCGCTTCTCTCTGCTGGCTGATTTGCGATCCTGGCTCTTAGAAACCTGGTTCATCAAGGAACATTAAGAAGTTAAGGTAGAAATGACAACAGGAACAATCATGTCCAGGTCCAAGCATCCAACATGAAGATAAGAAATGAAGATTAACGTTTAATGAGACAATTAAGTAACAACTCATTCCCTCCTAAGGAACTTCGTATTTTGCTTATAATTCAAAATCACAGATCTTCATCACCTTTTAATACTAATATATAGGTGATGCAAAAGTAGGTTTAGTTTTTCATACAGAAAACAATACAATAATTAATAAATAATAAAAGACCAAAGAAGTATTTTTAATACTTTGTCTTTTGCATCCACAATAAATTCCTTAATCTTGTAGTTTTCATTCATAATTTAATGTGCAGTGAGTGTCCAACTGAGGCCCCTTTTGGTATGTTGGAAGATTCCTTATTTGTGCCGACTGCATTCTTTTTGAGCTCTGCCTATCTTAGCCCTGGAATCCACACTTTTATTTTGCCATTTTCTAAACATTTTTTTAAAAAAATGTATTTTTATTAATTTCAGAGAGGAAGGGAGAGGGAGAAAGAAAAACATCAATGATAAGAGAATCATTGATTGCCTGCCTCCTGCATGCCCCACATTGTCACACTGGGGATTGAGCCTGCAACCCAAGCACATGCCCTGACTGGGAATCGAACCATGAACTCCTGGTTCATAGGTTGACGCTCAACCACTGAGCCATGCCAGCCGGGCCTAAACATTTTTAATAAAGTAAGGGTAAAGGCTATAATATATTAAAATATTTGTAAAAACATATACAGATTTCCATAATCAAAATGTTGACTTACAACTGATGCACACTACTCAATAGCTGGAATGGTTTGTCATCTGTGCAGCACAGGGGCTAACACAACTGGCCTGAGGGTGGAATCTGGGATCTTGATGCTCAAAGTGTCCCCAGTGGACAGTTAACTGGTATGGGTGGTGCACTATGCCTGAACTGTGCAAACTATAGTTACACAGAACACCTTTCCTTCTGGGAGTTGGGAATTTGATACATGCTAAGTAACCAGCCCCCAATAAAAATCTTGCCTGAGACTCTAATGGGCTTCTGTGGGCAGAAGCATCACCTGTGGGTTGCTGCATTTTCACTGCTCTGTGAGCCTTCACGGGAGAGAATACAAAGGAGCCCATAAAGGGTTCCCCCAAACTCTGCCTGTCTTTCCCATGATCCACTGTGTATCCTCACTGCATCATTGTAGCCAATCTTAGCTGGAAGTACATGTAGATGCTCAGTCCACGAGTCCCTCTAGTGCAGTGATGGCGAACCTATGACACGCATGTCAGAGTTGACACGCGAACTCATTTTTTTGGTTAATTTTTCTTTGTTAAATGGCATTTAAATATATAAAATAAATATCAAAAATATAAATCTTTGTTTTACTATGGTTGCAAATATCAAAAAAAATTTCTATATGTGACACGGCACCAGAGTTAAGTTAGGGTTTTTTAAAATGCTGACACGCCGAGCTCAAAAGGTTCGCCAACACTGCTCTAGTGAATCACTAAATGTGGGTGATCTTGGAGACCCACATCTATCAAAGTTATAAGGCTGTCAAAAGTTGAATGTATGAATATCAACACTGTCCATGACCCTAATGGAAGGGAGACTGAAGCGGTAAGAACCTAACAATATAGGTACTTTGTGGATTCTGTGTTCTGCAGAGCATCTGCAAGGAGACAGTACAGGATGAAGCTAAGGTGGCTGAAGGTTGGCTGGGTCACATGTAGATTAGGAATGCATGATGAAGTACTTCCGAAACTTTCAGGGCAGGCAATGAAAATGGACTGATAAACACTGGCTCAGGGAAAAGGTCAACCACTCCCATGTTTGAATCTTAAAATTAGCTTTAGAAAAAAAAGAGCAACAATTCTCATCAGAACAAAGTTAAGTATAAAGGAAAGCATTTACTTATTTATTCAGAATTTATTGGGGGAAAAAGTTTATTGGAGCCAAACTGATAGCATGTGCCAGAGAGCAAGATCTCAAATGCTCCTGAAGAAAAGCTTTTAAGTTTTCTTTCTTTCTTTTTTTTAGTTCAAGATATCTACATTTTGAAAAGGTAGACAACCTTTCTCAAATTAATCTCAGTAATTCCCTAAAACACACTTAGAAATGTAAATGGAAGCAATGTCAAATGAAAAAAACTGCTAAATACCCTAGTTAGAAAATCAATACTCACTCTCTCTTTGGATCCCGACGTTTTGACACTAATAACAGGCACACCTTTAGATTTATCCATTACTACAGTCCGCTCGGTTCCTCGACTACCTACAGGAAGAAAGGTGTCAGTGTTAAGGTAAGAAACAAGAAACATCCAAATGAGAAAAAAATACTGAACTCTATGGAAAATAAATCTAGTTTGTGTTGCCAACTGATGACAGCAAACCAACAAACCACAACGGCCAGGAGCAGAACTCAAAGTGAGCTCTTACATATCGATTAGGCGGTAGGCTACCTGATTTTGTGGTTCGAGATCGCTCTGAAGGGCCAGGTTTCTGATCATCTGGATCTTTACTCTTTTCTCCACTTCCATCTTCACCCTTTTTAGCATCATCTTTTCTGTCAGCTTTATCTTCCCTTTTAAGGTTTGCTGATCTAGGTAAGACCCCAAAACAAAGAAGTGTGTTAGATCAGGTATTCTGATAAACAAACCAGCCACTATCAGATTCTTGCAATGAGCACCAAGTGCCAAGAAGGAGGCTGCCTCAACTGGCATCAACAAGACAACAAAGAACAAGGAGCCCATCCTGCTTTCCCCACGTGCCCCTGGATTAAGGAAATCCAGCACAATGACTGGTGCTGGAACCCCCTTACAACAAATGGGAAAAACAAACGGGGTCAGGGGCCTCGTGCTCTTCCCTATCTGTGGAGAACTTGAAGGATGTGAAACAAAGAAAAGAATCGTCTTGGCCACAATTTCCTTAGAGAAAATAATACCTGTCACTGGTGCTGGACTTCTCTTTTTTCCCTTCACCTTCTCTTTTGTCAGAGGTTTTCTTTCCAGCAGGCTCATTTTTTGCCTGAAAAATAGAAGCAAATGGAAGTATTACCTTACTGTTTCCTCAAATAGTCACAGTCCTGGAAGAAAATGGCCCTTTACCTTTTCCACTGAGATCATCTTCCCGTGGAGCTCAGTCTTGTGCAGGTGGTTAATGCATTTTGTGGCCTCTTCCGCTGTGGACATTGTCACAAAGCCGTAGCAGCGAGCTCCAGGACTCCGAGCATTTGTCACAACCTTGGCACCCACCACCTCAAAGGAAAAGCACAGAAATAGGTCTCGGACACGAAACCCTCCCACACAGTCATTACGGTTCACACTGCTTTCCTCTGATCTACCCCAAGTCAGGCCTCCTCCCTGGTATGAGGGAGGAGAAAACCCTGTCACCAGGTGCCTGAAAAGAGGCAGATGACTGGGGAAGATAATGCTACCGTCTTGCAGTTAACTACTCCAAGGACCTCCTCCACTTATGGCTGTTCCTCCAGGCAATCAGGATGGCAGTGTGGCAAAAGCAAGATGAAGGCAGTTCTGCAAATATTCCTTTAGCATTATCTCAAACTTGTAAAAAATTACTCTGAATATATAGTCATAGATGTGAGCAGCAAATAGAAAGACATATCTATATAGATGGCTATCGACATAAGAGCAAGTTTGCAACGAGCACTCTGGAAGGCAGATTCCATCTCACTAGGGATAACAACAAGTTCATTAAGATGTTTGAGGCACTAAAGGTACACCCTCACATACTGAGTAATTCCTCCAAACATTTCAGCAAGCTGATGTCAGGCACCAGGTTCAGGAGAAGCCCCATAGGAGCCAGTATTCATCCTTATTTTCCACAAGGAATCTTAGCCCCAAAGGAAGGTTTCAGAGTGGTCTAATTCTGTGTTCAATGAAACCTACAATGCTCCCAAGAAGCCATGGGCCTCAGAGTGACATTTCCCTGTTGAGAGAAACCTTCTCCTCTGAGGGCCACAGGAGAAAGAAGAAAGGGCTCAACCTGGATTACTGAGGCGCAGGGAGTCATCAGCTATTTCTATCACCATGGCATGTTTAATTTTCCCTTTGTTAGCTCTTGGACATCAATAACCAAGGTAAATACTGTTGGTTTGATCTCTTATAACTTGCTCAAGCCTTAAGGTGAACAAGGGCCTGTACCAAGTTTTACTTTGGCTTGCCCCAAAAGCTGACTCTAAGAGACAAGGAGCCCTGGATGTAATTTATTTGGGAGGCGAGTCCAGGAGGCACAGGGAGAAGGTGAGAAAAAAGGGAGGAAAGCCAACACAAGTGCCCTAACAAACAAGGAGCTGTAGTGGAAACGTGGGGGGGGGGGGCTGGTGCATGAGTGTCTATCAATCACTGCCATCACCAAGAGCTGACGAGGGAGGGAAGAGAGAGGGGCTTGGGGTGCAGAGGGGAAGTGGCCATAAATGCTCCAGCTGTGGGTAAAAACGGTATGAGTGCCCTGATCAGGTGTGTGCAAGAGGCAACACAATCGATGTGTTTTCCTCACATCAGTATTTCTTTCTGTCTCTCCCTCTCCTTTCCACTCTCTCTAAAAATCAATGGAAAAAATATCCTTGGCCTTAGCTGGTTTGGCTCAGTGGATAAAGCATGGGCCTGTGGACTGAAGGGTCCCCAGTTCAATTCCAGTCAAGGGCACATGCCTGGGTTGCGGGCTTGATCCCCAGTAGGGGGTATGCAGGAGGCAGCCGATCAATGATTCTTTTTTCTTATCATTGATGTTTCTATCTCTCACTCTCCCTTCCTCTCTAAAATTAGTAAAAATATATATATTTTTTAAAAATCCTGTGACGAGGATTAAAAAACAATTTAAAAAATCAGGCTACAGATGAGGGCCACAGGCAGGGCATCCATAGCTCTGCTATAGCTACATACCATCTTCAGGAGGCAGCAATGGAAGGTCCCCCGGTGTACAGATGATACAGAAGTTCCCATAAGGGAAGTGACATGAACCTGGCCACACAACTGTGAGTGGCAGAGCTGGAACCTGTCACTGGTCAAGATGCAAAAGCCTTGTATGTGTACAGCCTCAATTGTGCTGTCCTGCAGTTACCACTGTCTCACAGAAGTGCTGACAGCATCTCTCCGTCCTGCCCTTTGCTACAGCCCCTGCAGCCCTTCTTGGGTTTAAGTCCTGAAGCCTTAAAAAAGTGGTAGCTTGGGGGCAGAGGATGAGGGAGAAGAAATACAAAGTAGAGGGGGTCTGGGAGCTTCAACAGATCTGTCACCTCTACACATAGAGGGGTAGGTGATCCTGCACAGGCCATGAGCTGTGAGCTCAAAGAACAGCAAAGTGTCAAAGTGGTCACTGAGAGGACAGTAATCTGCATAGAAAGGCTATAGTAAATTTGGCTTAAAGACATCTTCTCCAGAAAACCCTTGGTCTTACCTTTCCATATTTGCTGAAAAGATTCTTCAAATCTGTAGCTCTGGTGGTGGAAGAAAGTCCACTAACCCAGAAATTTCTACAACTGCTACGACCTATTTAAAAAAACACAGCGTCTGGTCAAGAATATAATTCATACAATATCTTGAGTCTTAGTCATTAGAAACCACATATGTTCCCCCCACTTGTCCAAGATACCAGCAGCCCCCAAGCCCACTGTCCTTACACAACTGGAGTGACAAACTAGGCCCAACAGGACCTGCAGCAATGCCACTTACAACAGCAAGCCAGGAGCTGTTAGGATCATGGAGATTCCCTCAAAGTTACCAAACCACATCATGAAACCCAGTGAGGTGGCTCTTGAACAAAGAATGCTGATATCTGTGCCAAAACACTTTGGGGCTCCTTTCTGGTGACACATACCTACCCCAGTTATGGTTCTTTCTTTCTTTTTTAAAATATATTTTATTGATTTTTTACAGAGAGGAAGGGAGAGGGATAGTCAGAAACATCGATGAGAGAGAAACATCAATCAGCTGCCTCCTGCACGCCCCCTACTGGGGATGTGCCTGCAACCAAGGTACATGCCCTTGACCGGAATGGAACCTGGGACCCTTCAGTCTGCAGGCTGACGCTCTATCCACTGAGCCAAACCGGTCAGGCTATGGTTCTTTTTAACACTGATTAAGAATGAATCTGGATAGTAAAATTTCAATTAAAGAAAAAAATTGTAATAAAGAGGTAAGGTGCTGATAAAGCTGAAATACCAGGATATCTGACACCAGATCATTTTTTTCCATTTCCAAAGTGCCCTCGTGAAAACAAGGGCCTGCATGACATTAATACATCAACCCGGAAGAACTGGCCTGGTCCCCACTACCCAGGACATGCAGAGTGAAGAGCAGGAGTGGAAAAAGGCCCCATGTAAGACACACAGACACATCTGGCTGAGAAATGCACTAATATACCACACTACTGCTGAGGCCGCATACACTGCAAGAGACTGCCGTAGGGACCTACCTTTGTCCTCTTTGGAAAGCCGTTTTGTATCCGAGTCATCTTCGACAGAACTAGAGAGAAAAAAGAATGTCACTCCAGGAGGAAGAAGCAGAGAGGAAACCAACTCAAAATGATAAAATATGTGCTGAGGTTGCATACCTACCCGAAATTTAGTTCGGAAAAAAATGATACCCCGACAAACTTGTATTGGAAATCTGACCTAACCATAAGATTTCACACCCACAGGAGTTAATTAATTCGGCTGGGCTAAAGATAATTAGGAAGAATTAAAGAAAACAACCATGACAGGTTGAGAAAAGAAAAAGATTATATAATCAGTTTAAAATAAACAAAGAGAAATAAAACATTCTTTAGAGGTAAACTACAGTTTCATCAGTCTGGCTGGCCAATTGTAGAAAAAACAGCTTATGTGTGTCATTAAACGACCAATGAAAAGGAGATAGCGTCTGGTCTAAAACTGAGAAAAAACAAACCTCATTTTCTGATCAGCGCCCTCACTGGCTGAGGACTCTTTAGGAGCCGGAGGGACTTCATTACAAGCTTCAAAAGCAAACTTCTTCACGTCTTCTTTGCTATCTCTGGGATCTGGGCTTGAGGCTTCCTGGGGCGCTTCTGCGACCTCCTCGCTAGAGGCTTCTGTGCGCTCTGAGGCTTTACTACTCTGCTCAACTGGCTCCTCTAGCCCTACAGGCTCACAGTCCATCCTCTCGTCACCGCCTGTCTGCTCCACGGGCTCCCTTTTCACTACCGCTAACAGGGTGTCTGCCTCGCTCCACTGAGCTTGTGCTGTTGACTCGCTGGCCAAATCTAAATCACCCTCCTCCGGGTGGCCGCTGCCAAAAAGGTCCTCTTCCTCCGCAAGCTTTCTGTCTGGCCCCACGCTACTTGTATCCTGTGCAAATGGCTGCTCCAGCTCGGAACCTTCTTCTTTTACTGGCTCAGATTTACAAGTTTCCCCCAAAATGTCGAGTATTTTCTCATTTTCTACGGATTTAACAGGAATAGAATGGCACAAGGTTTAATTACCAGGGAAATAAAGCAATCACAAATGTGGAACTGGCACGGCTGCCACACTAACACGAAGAGAACTGCTAGCTACACAGAGATTGGAAAACCCGCAGGTACACATGTTACACTGGTTACACTACCTGCACTCCAACCGACTGCTAGAGTAAGCTGCCACGCTACATGGAAGAGAAAAGCATCCCAGAGATTTAACCCCAAAACCTTCTGGCTGATTCTTGACAGTCTTCATTCTGTCGTCGTTTACATATGACTCTTCCAAATTTAGCTTCCAAAGTCCAAGTTGCTTAACTGAATGTATGACCATTCACTGAACAGCTCAATTTCCAAATTTCTTTGAATTTCTTTTAACAGAACAGTCCAACATGACAATCAGAATCTCTTCCATCGGTGCTCTGAGATATTTGAAGTCCAGAAAGTGAATAGTATTTGTTTGGAATTCTCATGAAGAAACTCTTTCCTCTTCTGGAATCCAGTTATGTCTCAATGTTTTAAAATTTATCTCCCTACCTCTACCTGCACTGCCTGAATTAAAAACCATAAAGTTAAGGTACTGTCCAATATCACAAGATCTGTTTTGTGGGGTCCAGCAGTATTAGCTCGAGAGGCATGCAAACTCTTTCTACATGCATTTAAGTGCCATTTATATTTAAAAAGGCATGAGATCTCATAAATACATTTTGCAAAATGAGAAATTAGCCACTTTCACAGATCTGGTGATATGGCTGGGTTTCCAATCTCTATGATCCTGGTATGTTCTGGATCGTAAACTTTTAGAACAATGTATACTATATTATGGCAACTTTTTAAAATTTAAGAATTCAAATTAGAGAAGGTGGAAAACTAGAATGATTCCAAACCCCCGCTGATAAATTTTTCATTGAACAGTACCTGGCTCCAAGGATGGCTCTTCAATTTCCTGCGGAAAAAACAAAAATAAATAAAATAAAATAAAAAGATTTGTGCTAGATAGCAGTAACTAAAAGGGAAATTTTTAAAACACAGGCTAGAGCACTCACAAATGCAACAGGGGGAGAACTTGCTCGTGAAGGAAGAGCCCACACAGCTGGCATTCCAGCTCCTTCCTCTGGGCCCAAACCCCACATTTCAGGCTACTCTCAAGGAACCTGGTATCTGGTTTTCATTTTTTGCTGTTTCCCCAGTGTCTGGCAACATTTCACTTTTCATGGTGATGAACTGATCACATGCCTATCTGTCCCTCTAGGCCAGCGGTTCTCAACCTGTGGTTTGCGACCATCGGAAAACACATACAGCATATCAGATATTTACATTTCAATTCATAACAGTAGCAAAATTACAGTTATGAAGTAGCAACGAAAATAATTATATGGTTGAGGGTCACCACAACATTAGGAAGGTTGAGAACCACTGCTCTAGGTGGAACTCTTAAGTGCAAGGAGAGCAGTGTTTTCATTTTTCTACTTTTAGTGTCTAACAGAATGCCTGACACATAGCAAACAATCAGGTTTTCATTAATTAATATAGCATTAGCTTAGAATATTCACAAGACTGAGGGAATACAGGCACATGTCATTAAACTGTTATTTCGCAGTTGTATCACAGCTACCCCTTTGTCACCTGAGAGCTCTCCAGGATTACATTTATCTCCTACAATCAAGGTCCCCACTGGGCCAGGTCCAATTCCAAAATATCCTTCCAACCCTTCTCAGGAAGCCCTGTCAATTTAGACCATTGTTATGCCTCACCTACAATAGCCTCTGGTTTACTATTCCCATCTCCATCTGTCTGCACTTTTGCCACCATGGTGAGCACATGTCCCTCTGTGGCCTAAGGGCTTTAGCAACGGCCTCTCACACCACCTCCCTCCCCAACAGGCCCACTTGTACCCTGACCTCACTCCCAGCCAAGTCTTACATTTAGGTCAGGGGTCCTCAGCTCACAGAAAGGTCATCCTGAATGGCATCAAAGGCTGCTCCACTAATGAAGGGCCTTTCTCTCAATATGTAATCCCTGTTCCCTACCTCTGTACAAGGTACATTATTCTAGAATTCCAGTCAATATTGATGAGCACTGACTAGGTTCCAGGTGCAAATTTAATTTAAACACCTCATGTATACATATATTAATCATTAGACAGTACTAGCAGGTTGGAACTATTAGTATCATCTTTCTTCTTAGATTCGGAGACTGGCACAGAGTGATTGATAAACATGCTCAAGAACACACAGCACACAGAGCCCAGATCTGAGCAAAGGCTGTGTACCAGTCAGGCCAATTCCCAATGCTCTGTTTATGTGTGTACTCCACGCATGGAGGACGGGCCCTGTGAGGATGGAGACCAGTCTTTCTTCTCACTCATGTCTGTATCCACACCATCGCGTCACAGGTACTTCACATATACCCCATAAATGGTTGTGGATGGTCTGTATCTTCCCCTGGGAATAGACCTGCCATTCTAGGAAGCCCTAGGAAATTGTTCACTTTATTCGTAGTTTCATTTAACTATTAATCAATTTGTTTTTAACATAATATATGCCACTTTAGGAAGTAAAACTCTGAGCAAAACAAAGGACCACTCCAGGCAGAACAATTCTCTCAACTTTTTCCAAAGAAAAAATGAATATATTCCTATTTGTCTCTGGAAAGGGTTATATGCTTTCCATTTAAACTTCGGAGTCTTCGACCTAGAACAAAAACTCAATGAAACAACCAGACCTGGCTCTTCCTTTCTTTTCATAGGGATAAATAAAATGCATCTCTTCACAGTTGGAGAGACATCAGCCCTAAAGTGAGCTGGGTTCCACGAAGTTTTATTTTTTGAGGTCTGCATACTCCTTGAGGCTGGGGTCACTTAACCAGTGACAACCAACCCTGCCCTGCCTGGCAGAGCAAATGGAGATCTTATCTAAAAAGTGTTCTAATTAAGCAGCACAGTTGACATAAAAAAAAAACAATAAAAACAATCAAGGACTGAAATAAGCTAATTGTATTTTCATTTCCTTAGAACAGTTTCTATTAAAGCCCTAGCCGGCTTGGCTCAGTGGATAGAGCGTTGGCCTGCAAACTGAAGGTCATGGGTTTGATTCCGGTCATGGGCATATGCCTGGGTCGCAGGCTCGATCCCCAGTAGTGGGTATGCAGGAGGCAACTGATCAATGATTCTCTCTCAACATTGTTGTTTCCATCTTTCTCTCCCTTCCTCTCTGAAATCAATAAAAATATATTAAAAACAAACAAAACCAAAAAAGTTTCTATTAAAAATTAGACGCAAGCCCTAACCGGTTTGGCTCAGTGGATAGAGCGTCGGCCTGGGGACTGAAGGGTCCCAGGTTCGATTCCGGTCAGGGGCATGTACCTTGGTTGCGGGCACATCTCCAGTGGTGGGTGTGCAGGAGGCGGCTGATCGATGTTTCTCTCTCATTGATGTTTCTGACTCTCTATCTCTCTCTCTTCCTCTCTGTAAAAAATCAATAAAATATATTAAAAAAAAAAAAATTAGACGCAAGCCCTGGCCAGCTTCTCAGTGGTTAGAGCTCTGGCCTGCGCAAGGAAGGGCTGTGAGTTCAATTTCCAGTCAAGTGCATGTACCTGGGTTGCATGTTCGATCCCTGGTCTTGGTTGGGGCATGTACGGGAGGCAACCAGTTGATGTGTCTCTCACATTAATGTTTCTTTCTCTCTGCACCCCGCCCCCTCTAAAACAAAAAAAAAATCAATGGAAAAAATATCCTTGGGTGAGGATTAAAAAAAAATTAAAAATTAGACCCAAGTAAGTTTATTCCAACAGTTTACATACATATAAGTCTGGCAGAAACATTAAAAGGAAACTCAAGACCCAAATTTATTGAAATCATACCTGTAAGTTAGTCCACATCTCATTTGTTCTCATCTAAGGTTTAATATTTACACAGATGGTAATGAAACAGTCAAGATGATATAGTAATCAAAAAAATTCCTTGCATTTTCCATAAGAAATACTCCCAAAGGCAGAAATAGAAGCCTTGGAATCCACCTGTCCCAGCTGTGATGTCTGTGCTCTGCCCACCCTATCACCCCCCTGCATCCTAGTCTGGACCCCATCAATCTTCCTTAGAGAGGGAGCCCCCTTGCTATTTGACCTAACAGTCTTTCTGCAGAGGATGCCCTCAGCAATCAAATCAGCAAAAAACTTTCCCAAATATGCCCTCTCAGTTACAGGGAAGCCATAGTTATTGAGTGGGAAGTCAAGATGGTGAGTCCTTTGCAACAGGTACATTGTATTTAGGGGAAGGGGAGCAAAACCCTCTCTAAAGATGCTGACAAAGTAGGCAATGTTAACAAACCTTGAATGACTTTTCCTTGGGAGTGCAACACAATGTCTGCAGTGGTTTCCAGAAACTGTAGTATAACCACTGATGCTATAATTACTGAGAGACACAACAATTTACCTGTAATATAGTGAAGTCAGATGATGAAGTATCTAAGTTATTTATAGTTTCTCTGTCCTCTAGCTGTAAAATAAACAGAGAAGACAGTTTAATACATCAATAAGGTAACATAATGGAACATCTATACAATAACAAGTAACAGCCATGAAAAATCACTTATGACAACCCTGGCCGGTGTGGCTCAGATGGTTGGGGGCTGTCCCGTGTACTGAAAATTTGATTACCAGTCAAGGTGCATGCCTGGGTTGTGGGCTCAATCCTTGGTAAGGAGCTTGCAGGAAGCAGCCAATCAATGTTTCCCTCTCAGATTGATGGTTCTCTCTCTTTCTCCCTCCCCAGTCCTCACTCTCTAAAAATCAATTTTTAAAAATCACCTGACAAAATTCTGAATACAGTGCAGAAATCAAAAGAGCAATATAGTGTGATTCTGCTGGGGTTTGGAACCTACCCCCATGGATAAGCGGGGCTACTGTAGTACATAGACTTTACAAGTAGATTGGAGCATGAGGTTTGGAGACTACTCTTCAAGGAACAATGCCCAGAATCAGGTGTTGGAGTGGATTCTTGGACTTCAGTGGCCACCACCACCTTCCCGAAACCTGGATGCCAATGACAATGGGGCTGTTGCCCCTGAGGTGGCAACTGCCCCGAATGGAATGGCATCTCTGAGAACCCTGCCTCCTACCATTATAAACTCCCAAATCAGAGTATGGGGACAGAAGCAGAGGACTGGAAAAGCCCCAGTGATCCATCACTTTTTCTGTATACCTAGCAAATTTATCCTCATAAAAGTAAAATAATAAACGGTACCAAGACAACATGGTGCATGAGTCAAGTACATGGACTCTGGAATTGGTCTGGTCTTAATTCTTATCCTCTTATGATCCTGAAGATAGTTCTTTACTTTTTAAACCCCCAATTTCTTCAACTAAAAATGGGCATAATCCCACCTATTTGTCATACTGTTGTTTTAAAAAACAGCCCAGGCCAGCATGACTCAGTGGTTAGAGTTGGCCATGCCCAAAAGGGTTTCAGGTTTGATCGCGGGTCCTATCCTGGCCCTGTCAGGGCGAGTGAGGGAGGCAACTAATCAATGTCTCTCTCCCCTCCTGCCCTCCCTTCTTTTCTCTCTAAAAAATAAATGGGAAAAATATCCTCAGGTGAGGATTAACATCCCCCCCAGAACCCCTACCAATTAAAGAACATAATGCCTAATGCCTGGCAGACAGGCCTTCAATAATGTCCCTGAAACGTTTAATGTAGCATTCTGCAAATGTATAGCATATACTCCACTTCTCATTTATTATGACATTTGAGAAATTGATGCACTCAGGGCACATTCTAGAGCAGTGGTTCTCAACCTTCCTAATGCCTCCACCCTTTAATACAGTTCCTCATGTTGTGGTGACCCCCAATTTCATTGTTACAAATTGAACATAATTAAAGCATAGTGATTAATCACAAAAACAATACGTAATTATATATGTGTTTTCCGATGGTCTTAGGCGACCCCTGTGAAAGGGTCGTTTGACCTCCAAAGGGGTCACGACCTGCAGGTTGAGAACTGTTGTTCTAGAGACTACCGAGTACCTACAGCATGTTCTTGAAGCTGCTCAGGAAGCTCTTTCATTTCTCCCTCTAGCTCTCTACTATCAGACAGAGACTCCGGGAGATTATCAGCATCATCGTCTTCCACACAATCTGCAACACTTCCATTATCGATTTCTGCTTCATCTAACACGCTGATATCCATCATGTCAATGTCCTGCAAGTTCTCCAAGCTGGCTTCAACATCCTCCTGTGACATAACAAAACATAGCCATCAACAAATGAACTGCTACTGGTTCATCACTGAGCAGAATCACTGTCAATGCTACACATACCTGTCCATCCCCAGAATTTTCCTCCAGCCCATTATCTTCCACACCTTCTTCTTCTGGTTTACGTCCTGAAGAGATAATTGTCAAACCAGGAGATTAATAACGTGCATTTGCCAGAAGCAATACATTTTTTTTGAAATATTTTTATTGATTTCAGAGAAGGGAGAGGGAGAGAGAAACATCAATGATGAGAGAGAATCATTGATTGGCTGCCTCCTGCACATCACCTACTGGGGATCAAGCCCACAACTTGGGCATATGCCCTTGACCAGAATTGAACCCGGGACCCTGCAGGCTGAAGCTCTATCCACTGAGCCAAACCAGCTAAGGCCAGAAGAAATAATTTTTGACTTTTATAGGCTCTCAGCACTACAGAAATGGCCACCTAAAACACCTGTGGTACTTGCTAAACTGAAAGACACTGTGTAATCCAGGAATGGTAAGGCTATTCTGGACAAGGCAGACCCTCTACCACCTAAGCAGATGAGATTCTATTCTTATCCAGTGGCTGTGGATGTGGAAGTATGAGGAGCTGGAAATTGGTTCTTAGTAAGGTGAAAGCAGGACAGACCTTTCTCAGGCCTGGCTTTCTTATCAAGTGGCTTTGGTTATAGGGAGAGTAGTATCTTATACAAATGTGCTGCTTTTTACGTAAGAAACACGAAGCATGTTTTCCCACAGAAACAATGACATAAAGCAAAACATAAATAAGCAGGAGAAAGCCTGGCCAACGTGGCTCAGTGGCTGAGCGTCGACCTATGAACCAAGAGGTCATGGCTCAATTCCCGGTCAGGGCATATGCCTGGGTTGCGGGCTTGATCCCCAGTGTGGGGCATGCAGGAGGCAGCCGATCAATGATTCTCTCTTATCATTGATGTTTCTATCTCTCCCTCCCTTCATCTCTGAAATCAATAAAAAAATTATATATTTAAAGAAAATAAAAGCCAGTAATAACTACTACCTAGAGTTAGCTCTCATGTTGTCACACACTGACATATACAGATGTCTTCCCATATTTTGCTATGAATAGACTAGATGTATTATGTTTATAAAAATGACACTGTACTGTCATTTTATAATCTTTTCACTTAACATGTTGTGAACATATGTTCATATTCTTTTGTTGTTGTTAATCCTCACCCGAGGATATTTTTTCCATTGATTTTTTTTTCTAGAGAGTAGAAGGGAAGGAGAGAGGGAAGAGTGGAAGAAAGGAGAGAGGGAGAGAAAGAGTGAGAAATATCAATGTAAAACACATCAATTGGTTGCCTCCTGAACACACCCCTACTGGGGCCAGGGATCAAACCTACAACCTTTCAGTGTAAGGGCTGATGCTCTAACCATCAAACCACATGAGCCAGGAAGTCTCCATATTTTTAAAAAAATATATTTTATTGACTTTTTTACAGAGAGGAAGGGAGAGGGATAGAGAGTTAGAAACATTGATGAGAGAGAAACATCAATCAGCTGCCTTCTGCACACCTCCTACTGGGGATGTGCCCGCAACCAAGGTACATGCCCTTGACTGGAATCGAACCTGGGACCCCTTGAGTCCGCAGGCCGACGGTCTATCCACTGAGCCAAACCGATTAGGGCGAACCTTGTAATTTTTTTCTTTCTTTTTAAATCTTTAACCAAGGATATTTTTTCTATTGATTTTTATTTTATTTATTTTTATTGTGAACTGTTTATAACAGTTTACAGAGGGCAAGACTGTTGGCACTTTCATCTAAACAGCAGTATATAGGTGGTTATTTAAAATGAGCAAAATAGAAACATGTAAATAATAACAGAAATGACAGAGCTGAAGCAGAATGAAAATTATTAGGCATAACAAAATAAAAAAATTTATGGGGAAAATAAATTTTTGGTCTCTAGAGTTAGGTTTGGTAAAATTAAATCAATTCACTATTTTACTTTTAAATTTTTGTTTTTCAGTTACAGTTGACATGCCGTATCATATTAGTTTCAGGTGTACCTGATTGACTATTTTCAATGTGAATGAAGCATAAAGGAAACCAAAGATATGACAATTGAATGAAATGCATGACCCTGGATTTTCCTTTTGAATTACGAAGAACATTACTGGAAAAAATGTCTAAATCTAAATAAGTTCTAAGCTTAGATAACAGCATTGTATCAAAGTTAATTTCTTGATTTTGTGAACTAATGCCATGTAATGTCCTTGCTGTTAGGCAATACTGTATGTAGTATTTAAGGCAAAGGGGCACATGCTTGCAATTTATTCTCAAATAGTTCAAAAAAACAACACATACATACATACATACATACATACATACACAAACAAAAGACCCAGTAGCACAGTACAGGTAATAGCTTAAAAAGCAGGAGAAACCAAGATGGCGGCATAGGTAAACACCGGAGTTTGCTGCCTCGAACAACCACTTCAAAAATACAACTAAAAGACGGAACGGACATCATCCAGAACCACAGGAAGGTTGGCTGAGTGGAAATTCTACAACTAGAAGGAAAGAGAAAAGTATACCGAGACTCAGAGGAGGCGCAGTGCGGAAGTAAAATACTAAGGTACAGAGGCGCACACAGAGCGGGCTGGCGGCTGAGGGTGCGGTTGTCGTTTTCAATCGGGAGGGAGTCTCAGGCTCTGAGCTCCAGTTCCGGGCGAGTCTCTGGGGACCCAGACTCAAACGGGAGAATCGGAACTGTCTGGCATCGGTTGGAACTCAAGGGCAGCTTTCTGTCGGAGGGGCTTGTAGCGATTACCAGGACATTGAGAAGCGGAGCCTCTGAGGGCAGCCATAACTGCTAGCCCCGCCCTGTTGATCCCCTGGGACCCGCCCCGCCCAAGCCCTGCAGGGAGGCTTTTGCTGGATAGCCTAAGGCGGAGGCTAGATTAGCACCTCCCTACAGATCCAGGAGCCAATGTACCCAGAGGTCAGAGTGGGACCATCCAGTTTGCAGCTCCATGGAACCATAAAAGACACACTCAGGGGGCAGACTCAGTGAGCACCAAAGCCCCATTGAAGCAAGTCTTGCCCTGGAGGGGTGTCTCCAGCACAGAAGTTCTCCCACTGCAGACACAGCTGATTCTCACAGCCAATTGCCCTGGAGGTCATTTCCTCCCAGTGATACCTACAACAATCAAGGCTTAACTACAACAAGACTGTGCACAAAGCCCATAAGGGGGTGCACCAAGAGTGTCCTCCTCAGGTAATTGGGGAGGCTGAACCACTGGGCCCTAGTGGACACTTAGCACAGAAAACCACTTTATCAACACAGGGAAGCATAAAAAATGCGGAGACAAAGAAAAAGGACACATGCCGAAACCGGTTTGGCTCAGTGGATAGAGCGTCGGCCTGCGGACTGGGGGGTCCCGGGTTCGATTCCGGTCGAGGGCATGTACCTGGGTTGCGGGCACATCCCCAGTGGGAGATGTGCAGGAGGCGGCTGATCGATGTTTCTCTCTCATCGATGTTTCTGGCTCTCTATCTCTCTCCCTTCCTCTCTGTAAAAAATCAATAAAATATATTTTTTTAAAAAAAAAAAAGAAAAGAAAAAGGACACAAATGACAGAAATGGAGGAAAGCAAACTACTGGATATAGAGTTCAAAACCACACTTGTAAGGTTTTTCAAGAATTTTCTAGAAACCGCCGATAAATGTAGTGAGATCCTCAAGAAATCTAGTGAGACCCTCGAGGTTATGATAAAGGACCAACTAGAAATTAAGCATACACTGACTGAAATAAAGAATATTATACAGACTCCCAACAGCAAACTAGAGGATCGCAAGAATCAAGTCAACGATTTGAAATACGAAAAAGCAAAAAACACCCAACCGGAAAAGCAAAATGAAAAAAGAATCCAAAAATACGAAGATAGTGTAAGGAGCCTCTGGGACAGCTTCAAGCGCACCAACATCCGAATTATAGGGGTGCCAGAAGAAGAGAGAGAGCAAGATATTGAAAACCTATTTGAAGAAATAATGACAGAAAACTTCCCCTACCTGGTGAAAGAAATAGACTTCCAAGCCCAGGAAGCACAGAGAACCCCAAACAAAAGGAATCCAAAGAGGACCACACCAAGACACATCATAATTAAAATGCCAAGAGCAAAAGACAAAGAGAGAATCTTAAAAGCAGCAAGACAAAGAAAGTCAGTTACCTACAAGGAAGTACCCACACGACTGTCAGCTGATTTCTCAACAGAAACTTTGCAGGCCAGAAGGGAGTGGCAAGAAATATTCAAAGTGATGAATGCCAAGAACCTACAACCAAGAATACTTTACCCAGCAAAGCTATCATTCAGAATTGAAGGTCAGATAAAGAGCTTCACAGATAAGAAAAAGCTAAAGGAGTTCATCACCACCAAACCAGTATTATATGAAATGCTGAAAGGTATCCTTTAAGAAGAGGAAGTCGAAGAAAAAGGTAAAGATACAAATTATGAACAACAAATACACATCTATCAACAAGTGAATCTGAAAATCAAGTGAATAATCTGATGAACAGTATGAACTGGTGATTATAATAGAATCAGGGGCATAGAAAGAGAGTGAACTGACTATTCTTGGGGGGGAAAGGGGTGAGGGGGATGTGGGAAGAGACTGGACAAAAATCGTGCACCTATGGATGAGGACAGTGGGTGGGGAGTGAGGGAGGAGGGTGGAGTGGGAACTAGGCGGAGGGGAGTTATGGGGGGCAAAAAAGAGGAACAAATGTAATAATCTGAACAATAAAGATTTAACTAATCAAAAAAAAAAAAAAAAAAAGGAAGCTTAAAAAGCAAACGTGCCCTGGCCGGTGCCCTGAGCACTGGTTAGAGCATATCGGCCTGTAAACCAAAGGGTCTCAGGCTCATTCCCTGGCCCCCCAGGTCCAGGCACATACAGGAGGCAACCAATTGATGTGCCTTTCACATCGATGTTTCTCTCTCTCTATCCCCCCCCCCCCCCAACACACTCTCTAGAAATTAATGGAAAAAATAACCTGGGATGAATATTAACAATACATAAATAAATAAATAAATAAATAAATAAATAAATAAAATTAAAAGCAAATGTGCTGACTTTGCTTTTCCAGTTCCAACCAG